CACTTGCACCCAACATAGTAGTACAAGGTTTTAAACAGGAGCTATAATCGCAACCTCAGAAAGCACAAACAGGAGGATGCTGAACACTGGTGGTTCAAGCCTCTCATCCTAGCTACTCAGGAAGCTAAGATATGAGGATCAAGGTTCAAAGCCAGCTCAGGTAGTTAAGTCCAAAAGATTCTTATCTCCAATTAACAACCCAAGTGGAACTAGGGCTTAATTGGTAGAGCACTGTCCTTGAGCTTCTCTTGCTCAAGGCTAGCACTCTACCACTTTAGCCACAATACCACTTCAGGCTTTTTCTGTTTATGTGGTACTAAGGAATCAAACCCAGGGCTTCATGCATGCGAGGCAAGCACTCCAACCACTAAGCCACATTCCCAGCCCTGGCATCAAAAAATGTTTTTAAATTTAAAAAAACAGGAGGAGGGGCTGGGAAGGTGGCTCAGTGGTAGAATGCTTGCCTTGCATGCATGAGGCCCTGGGTTCGATTCCTCAGCACCACATAACCAGAAAAAGCCAGAAGTGGCACTGTGGCTCAAGTGGTAGGGCTAGCTGAGCTGAAGAGCTGAGGGACAGTGCCCAGGCCCAGAGTTCAAGCTTCATGACCGACCAAAAAGAAAAACAAAAACAGGAGGAGCTGGACACCAGTGGCTCATGCTTGTAATACTAGCTACTCAAGAGGCTGAGATCTGAGGATCCTGGTTCAAAGCCTGCCCAGGCAGTAAAGACTGTGAGACTCTTACCTCCAATTAACCACCAGAAAACTGAAAATGGTGTTGTGGCTCAAGTGGTAGAGCACACGCCTTGAGCAAAGAGCTGAGGGACAGCACCCAGACCCAGAGTTCAAGCCCCATGACTTAAAAAAAAGGGGGGGAGGGGCTGGGAAGGTGGCTCAGTGGTAGAGCGCTTGCCTTGCATGCATAAGGCCCTGGGTTCAATTCCTCAGCACCACATAAGCAGAAAAAAAAGCCGGAAGTGGTGTTATGGCTCAAGTAGTAGCGTGCTAGCCTTGAGCTGAAGAGCTGAGGGACAGCGCCCAGGCCCAGAGTTCAGGCCCCACGACCAGACCCAAAAAAAAAATTAAAAAAAAAAAAAGGATGAAAGTTCAAGCAAGTTGGAGACCCTCTCTGAAAAATAAATTGCAGGAGGGATGGGTGACTCAAAGGCACTTAGTTCAAGAGCTCAAATTCCAGTATAATTTAATAAGGAAAAAAAAAAACTTCGGGTATCATTTGATTATACTTACCCCAGGTCTCTAATGTAAGTGCATATAACCAAACATTTGCTAATTGCTTGCAGAAAAAAACCAATTTCAAATTTTCCCCAAGTTTGTATAGTTATCATTTCAACTGGTGCTGGCTCGATGACCCAGAGCAGGGTGCTGTCTCTTAGCTTTTTTTGCACAGATCTGGAGTTCTACCACTTGGGCCACTGCTCCATTCTAGCCTTTTTTTTTCCCTCAGTACTGGAGTACACTTCATAGGCAAGTGCTTTGCCACTGAGCTACAATATATCTCAGCCCATACACTTCTAGCTTTATGGTGGTTAGTTGGAGATAAAAATGTCACAGGCATTCCTGCCTAGGCTGGCTTTGGACTGTAACCCTCAGATCTCAGCCTATTGAGCAGCTACTGCAAGTGATTTTTTTTTTGGGGGGGGGAGGAGCGGGTCAGTCATGGGGCTTGAACTCTGGGCCTCGGCACTGTCCCTCAGCCCTTCAGCTCAAGGTGAGCGCTCTACCACTTGAGCCACAGAGCCACTTCCAGTTTTCTGGTAATTAATTGGAGATAACTGTCTCATAAAGTTTACTGCTTCAGCTGGCTTTGAACCATGATCCTCAGATCTCAGCCTCCTGAGTAGCTAGGATTACAGGTATGAGCAACCAACGCCCAGCAAGTAATATTTTTTAAAAGTAATTACATGCAAGTGCGTTTAGTAAAAATAATGTATTATTAGGGCAAATCACCAAGATGAAACTTTCAGGATTATTGCTATTATTATTATTATTGTCAGTGGGGCCTGAACTTGGCCTGGGCGCTGACCCTCAGCTCTTCAGCTCAAGGCTAGCACTCTACTACTTGAGCCGCAGTGCCACTTTCGGCTTTTTCTGCTTATGCAGCGCTGAGGCATCGAACTCCGGGCCTCATGCATGCAAGGCAAGCACTCTTACCACTGAGCCACCTTCCCAGTCCTATAATTATTATTATAAGAAAAACATGATCCTGGAAATGCATGCTATCACAAAATTTTAAAAAGTAATCCTAAATTTCCTCCACAGAATTGACATCCAGGGGCGAGATATGGTAGACCATCAGCTAATGAACAAAGAGTCAGTCTCAGTCTCAGACAGACAAAAAAAAAGAAAAGAAAAGAAAAGGAAAATTATATATCCAATAGAAATCTAAACTCTTAAGCAATCTTAAGTCTAACAGTCTCATTTACATGTAAAAATACCTTTTTATTTTGAAATAATTTTAGAGGTGTCTGATCTGTAGGTGGTCTTCTTGAACACTAAGTTCCTAGAGGGCAGGATCTTAGGACAGCATTGTACATTGAAGTGGTTCAATTAGTAGTATCCTGCTGCTTCTGTTAAATTGATAAAAAATAAAGTTTACTGAGCCAGGCACCAGAGGCTCACGCCTGTAATCCTAGCTACTCAGGAGGATGAGACCTGAGGATTAAGGTTCAAAGCTAGCCTGGGCAGGAAAGTCTGAGAGACTATCTCCAATTAACCACCAGAAAACTGGAAGTGGCACTGTGGCTCAAGTGGCAGAGTGCTTGCCTCGTGCTGAAGAGCACAGGGCCCAGGCCCAGAATTCAAGCCCCACGATCACCCAAAAAATAATAAATGAATAAAGCTTACTAACCAGCTAAGGAGAACATAAGTAGCTGCATTTCTTTAAGGTGAGGCTTCTTTTAGAATGTTAGATGGTGAAGAACAATATATTGCATCTTTCAATAAAGACAGCAAAGCAATTCACTGGTAGTTGCTGAATAACAGGAAGGAGTGGGGATGGAAAAAGTGAGAGTAAGCAAGGAGGTCAATCTGACTAAAATAATGTCCATGTGTGTGAAATACCAGTGAGCTAGCACACACTTAAAAAATGGATGAACTATATACCTTATAGGTAGGAGTGGGAGGGGAAACTCGAGGAAAGCAATGAGGTGACACTGTCCAAAAAAAGCAATGTACTCATTACCTGAAATGGTAAACTTTTTGTATACCTTAGTAATAAAATTGTATTTTAAAAAAAAAGGGATGACAAGAACGCATTTACTAGGCCAGGCACAGGTAGGTGATTCATGCCTATAATTCTAGCTACTCAGGAGTCTGAAATCTTAGGATACCAGTTCAAAACCAGCCCAGGCAGTCAAACCCAAGAGACGTTATCTTCACTTAACCAACAAAAAACTGGAAGTGGAGGTGCGCATTAAGTGATGGAGCATTAGGATAGAGGGGAAAGGGGAAGATTGTAAAACAGGTATCATCTGGGGTATGTACATCTGTGAAAAATGGAACAACCAAGTCTGTTAAAATTGGTTTCAGGAGGTAATGAATGGGGAGGTAACGAATGAGGGAAAAAGGAAGGGTTGATCCAGATCTACTGTGTACCTATATAGACATGTCATAACCAAATATCCTTGTAATTAACCAATAGATGCTAATTTTTAAAATGTGGGAGGGAAAGTGGGGTTTCTAATAAAGTTTTTAAAAAATGTACAGTAGCTGGTTGTGGGTGGCTCACACCTTTAATCCTAGCTACTCAGGAGACCCAAAGATCACAGTTGAAGCCAAATAGGATTTCCGCACTTGAGACTCTTTATCTTCAATTGATCACCACAAAAAGTAGAAGTGGAACTGTGGCTCAAATGGTAACTTTGAGCATGAAAGCTCAGAGACAGCACCCAAGCTCTGAGTTCAAACCCAGAGCAAGCACACAGGCACACAGACACAGAGAAAAAAGTACAGTAAACCACTAAAACTGATAGACTTAGTAGTATACTAAAGCAGTATATAATAATTTAGAGGTCCTTTTAGAAACCTTTCAAGCACTTTTGATATATAAGCCCGCAAAGTTTACAAAGAATGACGACAGACATAGTAAACGTGTTTTCCTTGGTGTTCCCCCAAGATACAGGGCAAACAAAAAACCCTCAGCAATGCAGTATCAGAAATGATGAAGCGTGGCACGTTTCAAGTCACTCAGATTTATGTTATCTCGTTGGACTATCACAGAGTTCTAATTTTATGAATGGGTAAAATTCAGGATCAAGAGATTAAGAGACTGGCCCAAGGTCACAGAACAAATCAGTGGTGCACCTCCCTAGAAGGGTGCACTTCCCCTGACCCAGTCCACATCACCCCGCCTCCCAATTGTGGCATTATGACAGGAGAGCACAGATCAGACTACTAAGTGGAACTCGCACTACCCCTGCCCTGCCAAAGAGGCGCAGGCCTGTATCTAAAAGCTGTCCCTAGCACCTCGCCAGAGGAGGAAGTTGTCCCCGAGACTGACCACGGATCTGCTCAGAGAAGGGACGAGGCTGACAGGTACAGTCTCCAGTAGACCCCGTCAGCATTCCCAGCAGTCCTTCCAGACCCGGCGCCGGCGAGACTGGTCACAGAAACGTCTGAAAAAACCTCCCAGTGAGTTTCGCCCCCTCCTGGACGCGAGAGACGAGCTGGGAGTGAGCCAGAGGGCGGCCCGCCACCCGAGCCGGCCATGTGTCCAGCCGGTCACGCCCGCCTCGCCCGACCGTCTCCCCAAGCCTAGACCGCAGCCAAAGGCCCCGCTTGGGACTCGACGCAAAGGCAGCCTTGGCGCGGACACCGCACCCGACTGGGACGCCCAGGCGAGGCACTACCGCCGGGGCTCAGCCCCACCCCTACAGCTGGGCCACTCGGCGACCCGATGAGCTCCCCCGGACAGGCCCGGAGGGTTCGGCCTTCCAGTCTGCCCGCCCGCCCGCCGTCGGCACTAGCCGGGCGTCCTTACTTCATTGAGCTGGCGCTCCGCGGCCTCACGCAGGGCCGGGTCCATGGTGCCCCGCAGGGCCTCGATAATGGTGTTGGGGTCCATCGCTGCGCGAACTCGGTCAAACCTGGGGGCACGGGTGCTACTAAGCCAGGAATAGCGCCACTCACTGCGCACATGGACTCGCCGCGCTCCGCAGCGGCAACCGGCGCGAAAGGAAAGAGAAGCGCCAAGGCCCCGGATAGAACCTCCTCGCCTCAGCGTGGAGGCGGGAGATGCTCCGGCCACTTCCTGTCGGCGCGCCCGCGGAGCATCCTGGGAAATGTAGTCTGCGAACGCAGCCGAAACTCACAAGGCTGGCTCCTCCTTGAATCTTCATAATCTAAGAGAACAAAACATCAAACGTCGCTGGGAGGAAATGAGAGCAGTTACGAAGATTTAATGTAATCTTCCTGGAGAATCTCATACCAGCGGGCTGAGAAGGTGGCTCAGTGGTAGAGTGCTTGCCTCTCATGCATGAGGCCCTGGGTTCGATTCCTCAGCACCTCTATAAGCAGAAAAAGCAGGAAGTGGCACTGTGGTTCAAGTGGTAGAGTGCTAGCCTTCAGCAAAGAAGCTCTGGGACAGGGCCCAAACCCTGAGTTCAAGCTACAGGACTGGCAAAATAAAAAGGAATCTGGGGTATTTTAAGACAGTGATTAAACCGATATACATTGTATGTGTCGAACTGATACAATGTAACCTCCCTCCTACAATTAGGAAGTATGAGACCTTAAATTCAACCTCCCTCCGGCTAGGAGCCTGTGGCTCACGCATTCCTATAATCCTAGATACTCAGGAGGCTGAGATCTGAGGATCATGGTTCAAGCCAGCCCAGGTGAGACTTTTATCTCCAATTAACCACCAGAAGCGCTCACCTTGAGGAGAGGAGCTCCATGACCAACCAAGAAAAGAAAGAAAGATCATTCAGATAACCTCTCTCTCTCTGAGAGTCCAGGACCAGTATACACACACACACAGGCACACAGCAGCAGCAGCAAAAATTAAAAAAATAGGGCTGGAAACATGGCTCAACAGTGGAGCTTGGTGGCTTCTATTACTCAGTAGCACATAAATAGAAAAAGCCAGAAGTGGCACTGTGGCTCAAGAGGTAGAGCATTAGCCTTGTGCAAAAGAAGCTCAAGGACAGTGCCCAAGCACTGAGTTCAAGCCCCAGGACTGGCCAAAAAAAAAGTTGTAACTCAGTAGTAATTTGTTTGTTCAAGATGCACTAGGCTCTGAGTTCTACCTCAACAACCCCCCCACGAAAAAGAAAAAACCACTTGATACATAAATGGTTATATTCCCTCATACTACCTCCCTTCCCAAAGTAGAATGCAGAAGTCCTTCCATGAATGAATAAATGGTTAAATAAACTGTAGTATACCCACAGCATGGAACATTACTCAACAATAAACATGAGCAAACTACTGATACAACAAACCACCCACACCAGTGCATTATGCTAAGTGAGAAAAGCTAACCCTAAAACACTACCTACTGTATTATTTCATTCAATAATATTCTTTGTATGTGTGTTTTTCATTCTAGGATTTGAACTCAGGGACTTCAATTCACTAGGCAAGTAGTCCACAACAGAGTCAATTCTCTAACCCACATTTCTCTAATTCTGAAATGACGAAGAAATGAAGAAACTCTCTAGGGTACATGGTTTGTGTCTGTAATCTACTCAGGTCATTGAGATCTGAGGATCAAAGCCAGCCCAGGCAGGAAAATCTGTAAGACTCTTATCTCCAATAAAGCAGCAAGCAGCTAGAAGTAGAGATATAGCTCAAGTGGTCAAGTGCCAGCTAAATAACCATGCAAAAGTATGAAGCTCTGAGTTCAAGCCTCAGTACTGGCACAAAATAAGATAAAATGTAAATAAAGCAAAAAAGACTGAGGTATGGCTCAAGTAGTAGAATTCTCACCTAGCAAATGTGAAGCTTTGAGTTCAAACCCTATTAACCCTAAAAATAATATTGGCAACATTATCATTATATGAATCAGAGCATTACCTGTATTTTAGAAAAGCCACTCCAGTAGTAATATGAGGGTTAAGATGAAAGGAAAGGTAGCTGGGAATGTAATTCAGTGGTAGAATGATTGCCTAGTATGCATGAAGCCCTGGGTTCAATTCCTCAGTACTACATAAACAAAAATCTGAAAGTGGCGCTGTGGCTCAAGTGGTAGAGTGCTAGCCTTGAGCAAAAGAAGCTCAGGCATAGTGGCCAGGCTCTGATTTCACAAGCCTCAGGACTGGCAGGGAAAAAAAAAAAATGGGAGATAAGGTGCTAAGAGCAGGTAAAAGTGGGTGAGGAGCTGTATGATCTGAGTGATGACCCAGGAATTTAGGTGAAAGATAAGTCTTACATACATAAATTTAGCTAGAGAGAAGTTTTTCAGGAAGTAAAGTTCACAGGTCTTTCCTTTATACCTCTTTTCACTTTTGGCTTTTTCTTTGGTACTAAAGGAATTGAACCCAGGGCTTCATGCATCCTAGGCAAGCACTCTACCACTAAGCCACATTGCCAGCCCCTCCTTTACCTCTTAAGAGCTAGTTCATATCATTTTGGCTCTTTGACTAATCTGAGTAGTCTACAACCACCTTCATGCTGATACAACTTGATAGCACCTCATCTCAGAACTGCAATTTACCTCTCATTCCTGCTTTCAGGCTTCTGTGTGACACATCTGGGATTCCTATGGCCTCCTGCTTGGTATTTGCACAGGTGCAGCACAGGTGTAGAAATGTCCAGGCCACGTTAACTGGACCTTGTGTGGCAACCCTTTGCTAGTGGAAACAGGACTGGGCATATAAATATGTTTCTGTCTCATCCTTAGATGGATAGTCTTGGGTTATGTTTCAAATGATTCCTCTAAAGGTCTCACAGGTTCTGGCAGCTGTCAAGAACAATGACAGAACTACAGAGTTCATATTTGAAATGTCTTTGCCCACTCCCTGTCATCCTCACATTATCCTTCATGCCTGCTCTCCGGAATCACACTCCAAATAAATTTACAACTCTGTCTCAATGTCTGCTCTCAGAGAAGCACAGAGTAAGAATGTTGCTACATAAAATGGTCTTAGAAAGTAAATTGTATAGGGGCTGGGAAGGTGTCTCAGTGGTAGAGTGCTTGCCTCGCATGTATGAGGTCCTGGGTTCGATCCCTCAGTACCACATAAGCAGAAAAAGCCGGAAGTGGCGCTGTGGCTCAAGTGGTAGAGTGCTAGCCTTGAGCTGAAGAGCTGAGGGATAGGGCCCAGGCCCAGAGTTCAGGCCCCACAACTGAAAAAAAAAAAAGGAAAAAGAAAAGAAAGTAAATTGTATTTTGTTGTTGGTGGTGGTAGTGGTCATGGGGCTTGAACTCTGGGCTTGGGCGCTGTCTCTGCACTCTTCAACTCAAGGCAAGCGCTCTACCACTTGAGCCACAGCTCCACTTTTGGTTTTCCAGTGGTTTATTGGAAATAATAGTCTCATGGATTTTCCTGGCCTGGCTGGTTTTGATCCCAATCCTCAGATCTTAGCCTCCTGAGTAGCTAGGATTACAGGCATGAGCCACCGGCACCGGGCTAGTAAATTGTATTTTTTGGTTTTTTTTGTTTTGTTTGCCAGTCCTGGGGCTTCAACTCCAGGCTGGGCAACTGTCACTGAGCCTCTCTGTGCTCAAGGCTAGTTTCTACAGCACCACTTCTGTTTTTTTCTGCTTATGTGGTACTGAGGAATCAAACCCAAGGCTTCATACATGCTAGGCAAGCGCTCTACCACTAAGCCACATTCCCACACTGAAAGTAAATTATGAAAGAGAGAAAGAAGGAAGGAAGGAAGAAGGAACGAAGGAAAGAAGGAACGAAGGAAAGAAGGGAAAGTAAATTGTATTTTAACTAGTTTTTTATATTGTATTACAATCAGGTATGGTGGCACATGTCTGTAATACCAGCAATAGGAAGATTGACTCAGGAGAAAGAATTTGAATTTGGGGGCCAAGCTGGGCTGCATAGCAAGATCTGTCTCAAAAAACAAATAGCCAGCTGGGCTCTGGTGGCTCATACCTGTAATCCTAGCTACTCAGGAGGCTGAGATCTGAGGATCACGGTTCAAAGCCGACCCAGACAGGAAAGTCTGTGAGACCTTTGTTGTTGTTGTTGTTGTTGTCGGTTGTGGGACTTGAACTCTGGGCCTGGGCGCTGTCCCTAGGTCTTCATCTCAAAGTTAATGCTCTGCCACTTGAGCCACAGAACCACTTCCAGTTTTCTAAGTAGTTTATTGGAGACAAGAGTCTCACGGATTTTGGTGTCTGGGCTGGCTTTGAATGGCGATCCTCAGATCTCAGCCTCTTGAGTAGCTAGGATTACAGGCATGAGCTACTGGTGGCCGGCTAAAGAAGACTCTTACTTCTAATTAAACAGCAGAAGGCTAGAAGTGGAGGTGTGGCTTTGTGGTAGAATGCCAGCTTTAAATCAAAAAGTCAGTAACCTGACTTCAACAGACCTTGTTTCAGGCCTCAGCCACAGATCTATCATTTCCTGTCCCAGGACTTCTGTGATGCCACGGCAGATGATGTGTCATGTGAGATTCTCAGGCATTGCCAACCTAGAAGTATGTAAAAGTTCACACTTTTAATGAAATTCTTGGCCCTGGATCATAAGTAATGATTCCTTTTGCATCACTTTGGGTTTGAGACAAATTTCATAAATCTACTCAAATCCTATAGGATCAACATAATCTCTTTTAATATTAGAAAACTAGCCTTCCTTTGTACTGGCCTTTTCTCCTTCTTTCTCACATCTACTTGTATATCTTTGAACAATATTTTTTGGCAGTAGCAACAACAGCACTATGCCCTCTTGCCTGCCTTTTTTTTTTGGTAGAGCCTGAATTCTGGGCCTAGGCGCTGTCCCCAGCTCTTCAACTCAAGGCTAGCACTCTACCACTTGAGCCACAGTGCCACTTCCAGCTTTTCCTGCTTATGTAGTGCTGAGGAATCGAGTCCAGGGCCTCATGCATGCTAGGCAAGCACTCTACCATTGAGCCACCTTCCCAGCCCTGCCATTTTTTTGTTTGTTTTTGTGGGTCATGGGGCTTGAACTCTGGGCTTGGTCACTGTCCCTGAGCTCTTCAGCTCAAGGTTAACACTCTACCACTTGAGCCACAGCACCAATTCTAGTTGGAGATAAAAGTCTCATGAAGCCAGGTGCTGGTGGCTCATGCC